TACCTGTCTCTGCTCTTCCAGTGCTCGGAGGCGGCGGGTAGCTGACGACAGCAGTGTCTCCAGCTCCAGCTGCAGGGTATCCAGCTCTTCGATGCCGATGCCATCATCCTCTGAGCGGCCCAGCACAGCAGTGTAGCGGGGGCATACCTTGACATGCTCCACGGGCTTAAAGTCGTAGTATTTCAGTGGGGGGCAGTCCTTCAGCTCACTCATGATGTATTGCAGCAAAGACCTGACAGTGATTTTACTGGCATAAGACAAAGTACTCATTAGATTATCAGACTGGCATACAATGTGAGTCCAGCTCTGTGCTGTAGCTCTCACACACAAATTCAGAAACACTTACGTACGGCCGCACGTACAGTCGGGACTGCTTTAAAGAGCGCAGGCTCGCTGGGCCCGAAATGCTGGAGAATACGTTTAAATTCTAACAAGGGTTTCTTTTATATTCATGATTTGCGCACAGACGCTTTAAATATAGGCGTTTTAAACCCACACCACACAAATATAGCGCACAAATTATAATGTGTATAATATTTTAGAGCAGCGATAGTTACCTTCACTGAATGGCGTCCATGATGGGTGAAACCATTGTGGTAAGAGGGGGGTGTGTGTGAAAATTATTCACCTAAAATGATGTCCCATTTTATATATAATGACGATTCTGAGGAGAAAAAATAAGATAGTTAAATTTTTACAAAACCTAACCAGGCATTTTAAGTCGTAAAAGCAATTTAAAAAGTGGCAAGTCTGAGAATACAGAGTCTGGAGACTTGGCGCTTCATAGAGCCTGTTGAGTAGTCTATCACAATGGTATCATCGGATGATACCAAATCTAGGCGTATTAAAAATATTTGCTGCCAAGCTTTTAATTTGGAAGTTAGACAGTATAGTTTGTGTACGTTAATCTTGATAATTGACATCTAACTATGAAAACCATATAAGGTAAAAATAAAAACTCGTGAGACAACAGCCGTTGTCCCCTCTTCATAGTGCAGAATGGGAACACCCTAGGGTGTGCTCGTTTTACTAAAAATACACTCCACCTGGGCGGAGAAATAAACGCGAACATTTACGCTGGGTGGGTAAAAACGATTCATTAGACTAACCCTCGCATCAAAACGAACACACCATAGATTTTCTCGACTATGTAGGATTTACGGAAGAGTCGTCCCAGGCGTGGCTGAGGAACTTCCGTCTTTTACAGCTCAAAAATGGTAAGTCTCCAGCACAACACTCAGCTTTATATTTAATTATTTAGCCAATTACCCCAAGTAACTACTGCCATATTTAACTTAAGATTAGCTAGCTAGCTGTGTGTTCCTTGTAGACGTGGTTTCTGGTTGGCTGCAGCAAAATGAGATTACGGGCATCCTTGATACGGTTTGCAGAAACAGATTGACTGAGCTGTCTTTTCCTCTCGTTTCCTTTTCTGCTCGTTTCTGTGACCTGTAGCTTCACCACAGTTTGTCCTTAAACCGTGGAAAAGCGACGTATATAGCTGGCATAAATACAGTAAATAATTTGGATGAGCTGCAGTGTCGATCACCTGAAGGCATCACATCCTCTTCTGCATTCATATCGCAGATAGATCTACACGTAGCTACGTAGCATTAGTAGATACTTGTTCATTCTGCCTGTGATAACAGATAGCTGTCAAGTGAGACTTGCACACGGATTATTGTCATGCGTAGCCTTAAACACAAGTCCCTGCTGGGCGATTTACCTTTATTCAACTGGAAGGATCTCATTGCATGTGGCCGAATCCTCCCAGGTATTGACTTTTTATTACTTTTCTCTTCAGACAGCGACTCTGCGCCCCTACTTAAACGCTGTGAGGGCCACCTTGCAGGCAGCCCTATGTCTGGAGAACTTCTCCTCTCAGGTGGTGGAGCGCCACAACAAGCCAGAGGTGGAGGTCAGGTATGTTTAGCAGCACTCAATTGAGTCTCACTGGTTTGTCCCCTGCTGCTTCCCACCCTATGCTTCCTCATGTTTCTCCTGCCCTAAAGATGTGTGTATTATGATCAGCTGCTGGCAGACGAGTTCAGTCATGTGCAAACTTGCATAAGAAAATCAAGGAGGGAAGAAAAATGGCTACAAGCAAGGGCAAGGCTTTAAAGTTGGACTGAAGGGACTTGCCTCAGCTTGTTCGCAGGTGTCCTCCCCGTTCAGTGTTGCGGGGTCTCGAGTATAACGTTGAGTTTTACTGTGTTTAGAAGGACTGTTTTTGCTGTTGTTACAGGAGCAGTAAGGAGCTGCTGCTTCAGCCGGTGGTGATCAGCCGTAATGACAAGGAGAAGGTTCTCATCGAGGGATCCATCAACTCCGTCAGAGTCAGTATTGCTGTCAAGCAGGTCAGTAGAGCTAGAATGGCTTTAACTTTTATTGTGGTTATGACTTTCCAGAATATTCTAACGCTCTTTAAAAACTACTATGATTGACTGCAGGCCGATGAGATCGAGAAGATCCTTTGCCACAAGTTTATGCGCTTCATGATGATGAGAGCAGAGAACTTCTTCATTCTGCGGAGGAAGCCAGTAGAGGTAAGAGACAGCGAGTGACAAAAGAGAAATCAGTACTTATTAACAGTATCAGAGGAAGAATACCACGTACAAAACGAGGAAGTGTGGGAGCTAAATGAGTCATAAAGGTCTTCATGCATGCATGTTTTAGAAACATCATACAGACAGTAAACACCTCAATAAAGAAGATCTAGAAGACGGTTGGTGCAGCAGGGGAGGATGTTAGGGATGGGGGGGTTGGAGGCAGATGATCCGCTGTTGACCCCTAAAGGGAGCAAGCAAAAGAAGGAAACAACATTAAATATCTCAGTATTTACAATAGCTTTAATGCAGTAACACAAATGGTGTCTTTTATTTTTTCCGCTCTTATTTTAGGGATATGATATTAGCTTCTTGATTACCAACTTCCACACGGAGCAGATGTACAAACACAAGTTGGTGGACTTTGTCATCCACTTCATGGAGGAGATCGACAAGGAGATCAGTGAGATGAAACTTTCGGTTAATGCCAGGGCCCGTATCGTTGCCGAAGAATTCCTCAAGAATGTAAGTAACTTGTTCGCTTCCTGCAGCGGCTCCGCTTTTATTATTGCCTCGTGTTAATTTGATTCTCTTGTCTTTACAGTTCTGATGGAAGTGTTAGTGTTTCCCCCGTGCCACCCTGGGAATGTTCCAACTGCCACTCGGCACAAGAGTGGAGAGTTAAAGGAGTAAGCAGCCGACCCGAGAGGAGAGGAACGTGACCAATCTGGCTTTGATGCCCTTTATTTACCCTTTACACCCGAGTGTCTTCCTGTACTCATGGATATCAATGACTGTACATAATGAAATATTTACAGTTTCATTTTCAGCCACTTAGAACAAATCCCCAAACAAAGGCGGGTCCTTAAAGTATTAATCAAGTTGATAACCATGAGTACAGGAGCACTGAGGCTGTGCTGTTCCAAATGAAACTCAGAAGAATTTTGTATTTTTTTTGTGTTCTGTCGCTGTCGTTTTAAATTGTCTCCAAATTTTCTCTGTTCAGGACATACTTGTTTGTGGAAGTGTTAAGTCAAACGTAGAAAGAGCTCACTGTAAAGAAACTGCCATCAGTCATGCAAGAAGATACGGAAATATAATAATAAAACTCAGTTGTTTATACCCGTTTGTGTTTGAAAGCTGACGTTTTTGCTGCACTGTTGCTGTTCCTATAAATGGATTTGCTCTGTTTCAGAGGAAGTTGTTCTGAGCCTGCCCTTTAACCACATTTTGCCTTATGCGTGTGTAACTGCTGTGCGCCGTTTCAGCCGCCAGGAAGGGGAAGTGCAGGCAGGGTGTGAGTCTGACGGTGTTTGTTCACATTCACAAGTTAATCCGAATCGTTCGATCCAAATCAAGACTTGAGTGTGCTGTGAAGAAAGCGCCATTTTCACAATAACCTTAAGTATTTCTTAAAAAAAAAAAAAAAATCCACTTTAATTTGAGCAGCTGTACTTACTACACGCACACATGCTTCACAAAAGTTGTGACTCGTGGAGGCTGATACTGCCGTCACACGCAGGGAGGAAGAGATTTGTGTTTCTGTCCTGGCTCGAAGAGGACGCAGCCAAATTAACTTTACAATAATGGCAAGATAGCTTTGCAACTTCCTAAGTTTCCATTGTGATACCATGGTTCATGCATTTGACTGTACAGTACTGTGCATAAGTGTTAAATCACCCCATATTTATATTTTGCTAAGAAAGTAGGAAATGCAGCAATTGATTGGAAGGTATAAACGCACATAGAAATACTTTTTTAAAGGCAGAACAGCTTGTAAGTCAACATTTGATTTGATCACCGTTATTCTTAATCACAGCCTGATGTCTTTTAGGTAAGCTCTCTTGTCATTTTTTAAATGAGTCTTCAGAAATAGTTCTGCAGGCTTCTTGAAGGACATCAAAGATGATCCCACACTGCTCAATGTTGATAATCAGATTATCTTCAGATGGTATTTCCTGGTTGATCAAAATCTGATTAATCTGTTTAAAATCCCATCAATTTTAACAAGATCTCTAAAACCACTGGCTGAAATGCAACCCTACACCATGACAGCCCCTCCACAGTGTTTTACAGATGGCTGTAGGCACTCACTGTTGGACCTCTCTCCTAAACACCTCCGTACATATTGACGATTTGACGTTTTTGATTTGGCTCCCTCACTCCTGGAGACCTGTTGCCACTGATTTTCAGTCCAGTTGAAAATCAGTTTCCTTAAAATTTTTAAGCACACACTGCACAGCATGTTGGCCACACACAAAGGCCCCGTCCAGATGGAGTCAACCTTAGGACCTTCTTGCTGTGAGGCAACAGTGCTAACCACCGCGCCGCCCACAAATAATCCCATTATCAAGAAATAACCACAACACGAACAGTACTGCACAAAACCCTCATAAAGAAACCCATCACAAGGTATGCAGTCACAAAAATCTCAAGTGAGAAGACAGATTGGAGTGGTTGGCTTAAAAAAATAACATCTTTATTATTGTGTAGTTGGGATGTACATTTTTTTTAAAATCTTAACCCACAACACCAACTTCAAGCTAATATTGTGTTCTTTGTTTCTGTTTTGCATGTTTAATGCTCTGATGTGTTCTCCACAGAAATGAGTGAAAGCATGTGAGTGTATTTCACTGAAGGCCCGTCGTGTGTGGAATCATCATTTACATAAAACATCAGTTTCAGCTGACACTGTACAAGCAGATACAGTACACCACATAGCTAAGGAAAGCTATTACACCAGCCAGCCCTACAAAATGAAATGGCTACTTGTTTACCATTAAAAATGAACGACCCAGTCCTTTAATCTATTACTGAATCAGCACTTTAAAAATAGTAAGCTGTTGTCCGAGTAGGTTTGCAGCCTACAAAGTGCACATTATCACTGAATACAGCTTCACATCCGATAATGACTGCACGTTACAGTTGCATATCAAAAACATGGAGCGGAAAAAAAAAATATCACAGGGTTAATACTTCAAGACACAAAACAGTAACTTTCAGTGTTAGTGCTACTGCTGCGCAAAATCAACACAATGAAACCACACGGAGTACAGTAACAGGCAGACAGGAATCTGCTGTGTGAGCCAAGCGTTTAACTCCCTGCTGTGCAAGACAATACTTTGATTCATAAATAATTTGGAACAGCGATGCCGAGGGCCCGCTGAACACTGAGGCCCGGACACTCGCAAGTTCCTCAAAAAAATATGCTTAAACAAGGGGTAACAGAGAAATGTGTGCGTGTGTATGGCGCTGGTGGAGGAGGAAGAAGGAGACACATTAACCTGCTGGTCACCAGTGTGAGGAGGTTGTGCACATTTGGAAAGGTGGAAAAAAAAGGAAGAAAAAGGAGGAAGGGGAAAGGTCCAGCTTTCAGCATCACCGGGTTCCAGCCAGCAGAGGTATCAGAGATGAGGAGGGACGGTCTGCAAGGCGTCTTCAGCCGTACGTTGGACGTTCACGTTCTGGAAGAAGGAATGCAGCAGCGTCAGTGTCCTGAGTGAATATACATCAACACAAGCCCACTTTTATCACAAGTCACCAAAACAAGGACTCTTCTTTTACTGGGGTGAAAAAAACAAGAAAGCCTTTTTTTCTCTCTGTCAGTGGATGTTAATGCTTTTGTCTGCTGCTGCTGCAACTTCTTCCATCAGTTTTCCATCTACGACTTTTTGCATTTCTTTTGCCCAAGGCACCATCTGGAGAGCCCCATCACCATGACAGTCACTGGCGTGAGCAGACTGCCAAGTAATTGGTGTCTGGAAGTTGGTAACTACATGTTTCTCTAAACCTCACAGCAGCACCTGAGACTAACCTAAAATGCTTGTTACTACTTTTTCTTTACTTTAAATGTGATTTTTTAAAATTTCCTCTTATTTTGTTTAATTTTAATCAGAGAGCCTTGTTAAGTCAGTGCAGACAGAAATCTGTGACTGGCACAGTGAGCGTTTTGTTTAGCTGTTTGCTATTCACCCCAGTGGAGTCTTTGCATATGAATGACCAGGAGAAATCTCAATCTCCTGGTTTGCACTGCACTGAACGTTTCATGTGTACACAGAAGAAGATACGAAGGAAATTCCAGCGTTTGTTTGATCTCCCTCTGATATCAGTAAGAAACACCCAAGTCATTTTAAGTCTTTAACAATTCATTAATATCAAACAGTGAAGCAGATTCATGCCATGCTTTCTAAAATGAAGCACAAAAAGAGTGTGATAAAGATACATGATATGGAAGTGTAGTTTATTTAAAAACAGTCAACAGAAATAGCTTCCTCTTAGTTCTGATCAGTAACGTGAAAAACACTGTGAGAGTCTTCACATTGTTTCACAAGAAAAGTGTAATTTCATATTTCCAGCATTTTCATTAGACAGTGTTAGGACATCTTAACAAATTAAACAGGAGCTTATGTGCAAGAGTTTATGTGCAAATATAGAGAAACTGCACCACTTGGCTACGTCACAAAGCGCTAACCTTAAGAGTTTCCTGACTGCTATCTACAAACATATAAAGTGATGGCACACCGTTAAAAGTTAACGTGGTTAAAAATCAGTTCAACAGACAGAATCAAATAAACAACGTATTCACTGACTGCACTTCAGAAGGTGCTGGAGTGTCACTGTTTCACAGTCGGGAGTACAGCATCAGCTCAAAAACACCTTCATTTGATTGTTTTGCTTTTTTATTCATTCTCCAAAAATAGGAGAATGAGCTTGTCACAAGGTCCGTGACAGGATTAATAAATGAAAAATTACAAACTGGATTCCAGTCGATTACCACCATCATCACATCTTATTATTACAAGAGAAGGAAGAACAGAAGACATGAAGAGTGGAAAGAGACTCAGTCAGGGATTTTTTTTCCCTGAAGGTACACTGTGCATCTGAAGGGTTCTGTGTGGGTAATGAAGGACTAAAGGAGGGGGGAGGGTTGGGGGTGTTGGGAGGGGAGGGTACTGCCTCACTGGTGAGATGGCACTGTTAGCAAAGCTTCCTCTGACATCCGCGACACGTCTACGTTCTGTTTGATAAAAAAAAAAAACAGACAAAAAGGAGGAGGGATCAAAACACAAGGGAGACATGAAATCCACTGGGCACACACCATGTCAACGACTTGGAATAATGCATCACGTTTAAGGTTTCAAGGATTTATCTGTTTTTCCACTTGTGTGACAGCATCAAGAAGAAATGAAAACCACTGTATGCACATATTTATGGTTTTGCCAATCTAGTTCAAAAGTTAAAAAATAAAATAATGTAAGTGCTCAACCATAAAACACACGCAGAGCATAAAACATTCACTGTTGTAGTAGTTGTTATGCAGAATTCATCGCTGTTCAGTATCAACTCCTGTTAGAAAAAATAATAATAATAAAACAGTTAAAATGGTCCACTTGGAGGACTATTTATCTAAAGGAAATGAGGGAGAATGTGAAGAGCAGTTAGTCAGTGTTTCATTAATCTGTAACCAGAGGTGGGCAGTAACGCATAATCTGATTACTTTTTTCAAGTAACGAGTAAAGGGATTACTATTGCAAAAACGGTAATTAGATTACCGTTACTTTCCCGCAAGCACGCTGCGTTACTAAAACCGTGATTTTTTTGCGAGAATGTCTCATGACAATGACGTAAGCGAGTATGACGTTCGTGGCAACAGCTGTGTGCAGATCAACAATGGATCATATATCGAGTGCGGGAGAGAGTATGAGCGTGCAGTGTTTAAAGCGTGGAAGTACTGACCATTTACCATTTACTTTGAGTTTGATTCCATAAAAAGTGACAAAAACATTAGTGTCCGTGGTACGTGGGAAGAAAACTTCTTTTTACAGCGAAAAAAAAAAAAAAAACCCTAAACAAGCACCGAGTACGATGTAATGGGAAACTCACAGAGAAACTCGCGGATTCTTCAACTGACCGCTGCGGCACACCTGCACCAGGGTAAACCTCCGCCTATGCCACTCCTGCTATACAGGTGAAAATAGAGCAACAGGACTGCTAGTCTTTGATTTTATTTGTTTTCTGCTGTGTTTTACTTGCATCTATTTGAAAGAGTGAGTGTAAACACAAAAAATATTTTATTTTATGTGCTGGAATGTGTAGAAAATAGGTTTCAATGTTAAACTAATTTCTTCAAGTCAGAGAATGGTGCAGATAATTTAATTTTTGCTAATAAAACAAGTTTTATAAAGAGACTTTTCCATTTGATTACATTTTGTATGATGGATTATGCAGAAAAAGTAGAATTGGGCTGAAAGATATATCGCTTTATCAGCTATTCAGGTTGTAAGTCGTGTTTTTAAAAAGTAACTAAGTAATTAATTACCGTTGAGAATAAGTAATCATTAAAGTAACGGGATTACTTTTTTGGGGAAGTAATGAGTAATTAGTTACTGATTACTTTTTTCATAACTTGACCAACACTGTCTGTAACCAACACAGGATCTGCCAAACGAGCCAGCTCTGCATCGATTACGAAAGCATGGAAATCAGAAAGGAGCACCACAGTGAGCGACCTTACCTGTGAGAAAGCAGGCTCTGCTGTATGTGTCTGTTTAATGTGTGCGTGTGTGTGTCATGCTACCCACCGCTGGCCTCTCTCTGTGCGTGTTCACTGCATCCACGTTTAGGCTGATGGACTCCACTTTACAGCCTAAGCGTGCAGAAAGAAGGTTTGTTTGATTAGTTTATGTGGCAGCAGATGTATATTCAGTTTGTACATTGCACATTGGCACGACAGCGGACCTACCGTAGGCCACCGGTGTCAGCTTCAGCACCGTGTGTAGTGGGCACTTCAGATATGGAAGCTCCTCTGTATGGAAAGATGAGTTCATTAGAGCACCACCGTATAAGTACACACAGTGCTTTTCACATATTTACATTCTTTTCATAGTGGGAGCAGGTACTCGTGCATGTGCATGCTAAAGGAGTCACATGCGCACTTTTTAAAATGAATTAATAAAAGATATGATTCATCAGGTAGTAAACAAGTATTTTGTGATGAATAAAGAATGGGTCCAAATAGGGATGGGTACGGTTCTGACATAAACGGTAGTAACCAGACCGAAAAGCAGCGCACATTTCGGTGCTTTTTTTTCCTGATCTGTGATACACTTTAGATTCTAGCCAATCATTTTACGTTTCCGAGGATAGTAGGCGGGGCCAGGTACGTACGTTCTGTTAGAGCAGAGCTACAGATTAAAAATGTCCAAGGCGAAGCGGTCAAAAGTCTGGCTGTACTTCATAGCAAAATATGCAAACTCAGCAGCTTGCAACAAGTGCTTTAAGCTGATACTGTGATACTGTCAAAGGAGGTAACACCTCAAATCCGATGAAACACCTGGCGACGCATAGCGTTTTTTTAAAAAGCCCAGAAATGCGCCGTATTTGATAGCTTGCTGCGAGACCTCACACCGAGCGCATCTACTGCGGGTGGGTTGCCTGTTATGCAGGATAAAAGACATGCTGTGGAAGAGAGACAGAGATTAATAACAGATATGATTCAATGCAGAGAGGTCTATTAATACATAGTGAGTGAGAAAGGTGACTGGAAAGGAAAAACTCAATGCATCATGGGAATCCCCCGGCAGCCTAAGTCTATTGCAGCATAACTAAGGGAGGATTCAGGATCACCTGGTCCAGCCCTAACTATATGCTTTAGCAAAAAGGAAAGTTGTAAGCCTAATCTTGAAAGTAGAGATAGTGTCTGTCTCCCAAATCCAAACTGGAAGCTGGTTCCACAGAAGAGGGGCCTGAAAACTGAAGGCTCTCCCTCCCATTCTACTTTTAAATACTCCAGAAACAACAAGTAGGCCTGCAGAGCGAGAGCGAAGTGCTCTAATAGGGTGATATGGTACTACAAGATCATTAAGATAAGATGGGGCCTGATTATTTAAGACCTTGTATGTGAGGAGCAGGATTTTGAATTCAATTCTGGATTTAACAGGAAGCCAATGAAGGGAAGCCAAAACAGGAGAAATATGCTCTCTCTTTCTAGTCCCTGTCAGCACTAGAAAGCATTTTGGATTAGCTGAAGGCTTTTCAGTGAGTTTTTTGGACATCCTGATAATAATGAATTACAGTAGTCCAGCCTGGAAGTAATAAATGCATGAACTAGTTTTTCAGCGTCACTCTGAGACAGGATATTTCTAATTTTAGAGATGTTGCGCAAATGGAAGAACGCAGTCTTACATATTTGTTTAATATGTGCATTGAAGGACATGTCCTGGTCAAAAATGACTCCAAGGTTCCTCACCGCGTTACTGGAGGCCAAGGTAACGGATCCAGAGTAAGAATCTGGTTAGATACCATATTTCTAAGCTTTTCAGGGCCGAGTACAATAACCTCAGTTTTATCTGAATTAAGAAGCAGAAAGTTAGCGGCCATCCAGGTCTTTATGTCTTGAAGACATTCCTGCAGTTTAACTAATTGGTGTGTGCTATCTGGCTTTATGGACAGATAGAGCTGGGTGTCATCTGCATAACAGTGAAAATGTATGCTATGTCTTCTAATGATGCTGCCTAAGGGAAGCATGTATAATGTAAACAGAATTGGTCCTAGCACTGAACCCTGTGGAACTCCATAATTAACCTCAGTGTGTGAAGAGGACTCTCCATTTACATGTACAAATTGGAGTCTATTAGATAGATATGATACAAACCACTGCAGTGCAGTACCTGTAATACCTACAGCATGTTCTAATCGCTCTAATAGGATATTATGGTCAACAGTATCGAACGCTGCACTGAGGTCTAGCAGGACAAGCACAGAGATGAGTCCACTGTCAGAGGCCATAAGAAGATCTTTTGTAACCTTCACTAAAGCTGTTTCTGTGCTGTGATGAGCTCTGAAACCTGACTGAAACTCTTCAAATAAACCATTCCTCTGCAGATGATCTGTTAGCTGTTTGACAACTACTCTTTCAAGGATTTTTGATATGAAAGGAAGGTTGGAGATTGGCCTATAATTAGCTAAGACTGCTGGGTCTAGAGATGGCTTTTTGAGTAAAGGTTTAACTACAGCCAGCTTGAAGGCCTGTGGTACATAGCCGATTATTAGAGATAGGTTGATCATATTTAAGATCGAAGAATTAATTAATGGCAGGACTTCTTTGAGCAGTTTTGTAGGTATGGGGTCTAAAAGACACGTTGAGTAGGCTAACCACGTTATTACATTAATGCATGTAAGGTGAACTAGCAAACAATCATCATAGCTACATGCGGCTGTCCTCTTGTTTGATGGCAGATACTCCCTTCACCCTGGCTAAAAAGGCTAAAATGACCAAAGAAAAAGTGGAAAACAGTTAAACATGAGAGGTTTAGGACAAAGTTTGTGTTTTTTCCGTTGTTTAAGCACTGCTTCCAGCCAAGAGTTCTCTCTGCTTTCTTTGGGGCCATCGTGGTTCAAAGAGTTGGCAGTTCGTCCTGTAACCGGAAGGTTGCCGGTTCGAGCCCCGGCTCGGACAGCCTCGGTCGTTGTGTCCTTGGGCAAGACACTTCACCTACCACCTACTGGTGATGGCCAGAGGGGCCGATGGCGCGATATGGCAGCCTCGCTTCTGTCAGTCTGCCCCAGGACAGCTGTGGCTACAACTGTAGCTTGCCTCCACCAGTGTGTGAATGTGAGAATGAATGAATAGTGGAATTGTAAAGCGCTTTGAGGGCCCCGAAAAGTGCTATATAAATGCAATCCATTATTATTATTATTATTATTTTCTAGCAGATGGACTCCAACTCCATGTTCTTGGACCTGCAGTTTAGTTTGTGCCGCCTCACAACAAAGACTGCTGTCACAGGCTGCACTCATGAGAGGTTGCTAATGATATCGTGAACTATCTGGCTAACAGCAAGGTAACTTTCAAAATAACAGCGTCTGCTAGTAAACTCATCATGGATCGTTATTTTGGAGGGGTGAAAAAACCCCATTAATCGCTAAATACAATATGGCAGTTTTTAATACCCCTCAAGTACAGTGTGAGTGTGAGACAGTGACACAGTGAAGAATTCTGAAGTGGAGGAATTATTGAAATAAAGGAAAAACAGAAATGAGGTCAGTCAGCCACGTACGTCTCCAACTGCTCACTTGAAAAATGAGCTTTATGCAAAACACGTCAGCGCACAAACCTCTCATCCAGCATCTTAGTTAAAAAGACTCTAACCCAACCAAGAAGGTCTGTGAGGTGCACAAAAGTTAGTCTGGCATGTGAAGCTGCGGAAGCAGCCGGGGACCGGACATGCACAATAATTCATCTATCACTCTGCCTTCAATAGATGTGAAAATGAAACTGAGCAGATAGCTCCAGGATCTACGTGATCTACAATAAAAATGTTGTGTGTGTTTTACACTAAAATGTGTTTCCTAAAATTATTTTTCTCTTACACCTCTCAGGTTTCTTGACATTTCAGTTTGAAAACTGACCTGCTGTTTTGTCCAGAAAGTATGCCAACAGGCAGCGCAGGACAGCTTGATGACAGATGACCAGCACGTTCTCCTGCCGCTCCAGCTCCATGATGACGGGCTCCAACCGCTGCACCAGGTCCTCATAGGACTGAGTGGCACAAAACAACGGAAAAGGCAATCGTGCGAATCCCCAAAACAATATAAAAAACTGAATGTGTAAAATAAGACTTCCACTTGACATTGACACATCCTGCAGAGTAATTAATTCACAGGTGAACAGGATGACATCTGAGCAAATGGAAAATCCATACAGGCTGTGTAGACTAACATAGGCTTTAACGACATTTCCGAAAGCATGATGTCACCGCCCGACTGGGCAACCAGCTAATGCCCATATCCATCTTCCTGTTACAGATTAATGGAGAGGTAATGGAATGAACTAAAGGTGAGAAAGGACCAGCAGGCACCTCAAACCACCTGATCAAATATATCTGGCACACACACACACACACTGATGCTGAAGCCTTTGTTTACTGTGATCTAGTGTTAAGCCGATACTGTCTGAGAAGCTGAAGCTCATTAGCACAGAGTAGGCTGCCAGAAGCCATTAAGATAAAATTAGATCATGTTTGTGGTTATCAGAAAGAAAAAGAGCACTTCATTATGCCCACAAAGGAAAATCCTGTCTGCATTAGCAATGTTCCACATGTTAAAAAATAACCACTGACCTCTCCTTTTGGATAGCGATAGCGATATTTGTCCTGGTCTCTTAGTGCAAACTCCAGAGGGTAGTTTCTTTGGATCTCCTCATACATCAACTCCTCACACACACCCTAAAATGCACATACGGGTTCAACTTCAACACAGAAGCACAAAGAGGTAGTCAACAGTGATGTGCAGAAGCCAAGAGAGCACCACCTACAGCATCAATCTCATTCAGGACCTTCCACTGTTCATAGGGCACATTGAGGGCTTCGGCTGTCTGGATGGTTCTCTTCATCTGACTAGTCCATACCTTGAGGTCGCTAATGTTTTGCTCCTGGATGAAGTGGCTCAGCTTCTTAGCAAACTGGAGAAAGAAAAACAAAACCTTTATTTATTTTCACAATAGCTCATGCAGTCAGGAGGAAGACAGGTAAGGGTTTAGAAGACATTTTTTCTTTGATTGTAAAGTTTCGTTGTACCTCCTTCCCTCTAATCGTCAGACCCGAGTCTCCTCCGATACGACCCTTGACGTTTAGCTCGCTCTCCCCGTGGCGGCACAGGTAGATGGAGCGGGGTGTGATGTGGATGTTCATGAGGTAGTAGACAATCCGGCTCTGGATGTGGTCTAACACTCTATTGACCAAGTACCGCTGACCAACGTCCATGATTTTAATGTAGGACAGATCTCTGAGGGGAGAACACAGATAAAATACAATAAGAAAATGTATTTTTTAAGCCGGTTACTCCCATAGTTTTGCAATGGGGACACACACACCATCACCAGGTTCCACCTCACCTGTCCAGTACCTCATCCAGTGTCTCGTACGAGTTTTCATAGCACTTAATCCGCTTCATGAAATCTTCCACTGCTTCTTCTGTGTTGCAGTTGGTGTAGTCCGGGCTATCCAGTTTCACTTGCTAAAGTAGAGCAACAGCAGAGGAGTGAGCCCTGCATCTTCTAACGAGTCAAAACAGTGCCAACAAACACAGACACTCACCACTATGTTCTCCTGTATGACATCTGGGTCTTCACACACAGACTCCACAAAGAACACCTGAAGGAAGACAGAAGACAGAATCAGTGTGACCGCCAGCAAAACCCGAACCCTCACTTTGAGCCCGCCAGGTTACCTTAAAGCCATTCTGCTCCGCAAACTCCAGGATGGTCTCCCTTCTTTCTCGGGTAGTGTTTGTTGCATCGAACACCTGTAGTAACACACACATTATATGAGCTTTTTTAGCACTGCACCCCGTATCTGAGCTGAAGAAAATATCTCAGCCTGTGTGATAATTAACACATGACCCACCGCAACCTGGCCTCCGTCTTCTGTGAGGTACTCCCGCACATCGTTCAATGCCGCTGAAGCACACTTTCTGTGAAAATCACAGACAATCGGCCATAAAATGTTACATAATTAGTGATTAAATAACTTGTTAAGGTAGCATGATGCCAAAAGCACCCTTACCTTCTGATCTTTAACCCCTCCTCGTTGTCCGGACGGAAGAACTCAAAGGACTTGTAGATCTTTACAAACTCTCTTCTGTACTGTCCAACATTAAACTCTAAAGAGAAAAAAAATGGAGGCAAAAGCTATTTATTATAATTGCACTCAAAACACTCTCACTGGTGCTTCTGCTCTTGTGCATAATTTTACTAAAATCTGATACACTCTGTTCAACTCTATGGCACATGTACCTCTGGTGGGCACTCCGATCCAGTTGAGATAGCGGGTCAGCTTCTTGGAGATGTAGGTCTTCCCTCTGGCAGGTAGGCCCACGGTAACAATGAGTGTGGGACAGTTGGTCATACATACTGAAATGAAAGAGATCAAGGAAGCTTCAGTCCGCAGCTGATCCCTTACAATACGAAAGTCAAATTTAAAAACACACAGTTACTCAATCAAGACTGTCAACAACCAGGTTTGGGGATAGATTAGGAGACTGGCTCCAAAATGCTATCTTTCATATTACACAATTTATAAAGATATAATTTGAACGTTAGATTGGCATTATCAGAATGTGTGCGTCTGCGTGGTGCTGATATCGTTCATCTTGATAAAGTCTCACCACCCTGACAACGTGGAGTGATAGACAGAAGTATAATAGAGGTCACAGTTGCTGCAAGATGTGTCGGGGGTCTTGTGAAACAGCACTTTTACTGCAACAGACATCTGGAGAAAGCCAGCACACTGAGCCACTGCGTACACAGGTGACTGGGCCAGAGAGCAGCCAACCACTGGCCACATGCTCATTATTTTAAACTCCGCTCATTCCAATAATCCTCTCCGAGTCAGGCCACAGTGAGGAGACCCTGACCGTGCTGCGGCGCGCTGGTAAAACTCAGCAGCACAGCCACACGGCGAATGAGCCGCATGACTGCGGGGATACAATTCATGTTTACAACCGGCGGTCGACACAGAGGGTCATCCCTCGGACCAGTCCTTTCTCCTCGATACGAGCAGCCTTCATGTGCGGCGAGCATCATGTGAGTCCTTACATAAGCGTGCGAACCAGATGGCTGCTGCAGCAGAGAGACGTCTGACCTCTGTGAACTGTACTCCCCGCGGTAACGGCAGCTACTGCCACACAGATATTAATGCATACTGACCCAGCGCTCATTATTCACGGCGGACTGGAAGCCTCTACACACGCGCTCACGCGCACGCGGAAGAGAAAAAAGGGTTCCGGAGAAACTGTGAAGCACAACCATTGATACTCATATGACCACAAACGTTATATATTCAAGCTAACTGTTGTCGCCACGTCATACGCACCCTTCCTTTGACAAATGTGTTTTTCAGGAAGGCCGTTTTTATACGGCATCCAAATCTTCTTCAGGGGGTTTTGCGTGAGCTCCCGCGGATTTGTCGCTGCTTTGTCCTCCATTCCGTCTTGCGGTGAGGTGGAGGTTGCCGCGGCGGCAGCAGGAACACGGGGCTTCTTCCCGTGATGCTGCTCTGAAGTCGACCGGTGCTTCATCCGCGTTGGTGTGGCGGGATGGAGACGGCACGAGCGTTCTTTTCTCTCTTTCTCTGTGCCACTTGTCACGTGACCCGATCTGCCGATACCAACAACCGGCAGTTGGACGTAATGATCACAGCACAGGCGCAAAACAATTTTGTGATTAAACGTAAGTTTTATATGTTTTGCGCAACCACAAAACACAGTCGTTGCATAATTACACCGATTACCCCATAACAAATAATTACGGGGCCAGTATTGCTGATATCAATATTGTTAACCTATAAAAGCAGCGTATTTAACAGGGAGCAGGGTGTCATGATTTATGACATGCATCACGATCAGTTTGCAAATTATGAACACGCTTTAATGACAATTAAATCACTGTGACGTTTACTCTCCACAATGACACACCTTTCAGCTTCTCGTGTATTTTGAAACTCCAAAACGCTTTGAGTCAACTTCTGTTGTTTCACTGTGCTATAGGCGAGAAATAAAATGGATGTGACAGTGAACACAAAAAGGTTCAGGGACTTTTATAGTGCAGTATTTGAGGTCTATTTTTTCATTTCCACAAAATAAATAAATAAATAGATAAATAAATCAGTGCGCTACATACTGAACCTAGAGGATAGAAACTAGTGTAAATCCTACTGCCCTAGTTTCAATCCAGCACCAATAGCAGCATTGACATTTGCATTGTCCCACCTCTAAATAACAGTTTTAAGCTCAAAAATATTTCTGGCTGGTCTTGATTCTAATGGTCCTCTTATAATGGTCCTCAGCAGCATCTCATTGGCTTAAAGTGCTCACAGTGACATTGGGTCACTGTTGTACCAACCAACCTCTCCTAAGCTTTACATAACGAAGGGCTGCTTTGACATTCTGCCATAAATCATTTTGATACAGTTTTGAATTCCTTGTTTTTTCAGTAATTGCAAGGCACAGAGGCACAGAGACAGCAAAGGAGTTTCAAAACACGATTTCCACCACTGTGCTTCACAGTTGGTACTGAAGTTTGGCATCTGCCTTGCTCCACAACTTCAGCTTTCTTGTCATCATTTTTGTTGTCCACAGCATGTCCCAAAAGCAGTGCGTAACATCAGCGGAGGGAAAACTTAGACTTTGTTTCCATTGGTTTCTTTCATAGCATGCTTTCTCCAATACTCATTAATTAATACATTTATTAATAAGTGATAATTATACTTTCAGTAACAGGCCTTGTATGATGCTATGGTTAGTTTATTTTATTAAATTTCCTATATCGCCATCTGGATGAGACCAAAGCGCATGCTCGGCTCCTATTTATTGACTTTTCTTCAGATTTTAATACTATCCAGCCACATCTCTTAGCTTATAAACTTCTTAACCCGTTTAAACTGGATTTTAATCTTGTTGGTGGGATTTTAGACTTTTGGACCTGTTGTAGATGAGTCTGCTTCTTGGTGTGATCAGTCATTCTTAAAGATCAGCAGTTTGAAAAGTAAGGACATGGTAATTGACTTCAGGAAGCCATCCCCCCATCCTGCACCAACAGTAGTACATGGTGCAGCAACTGAACTGGTGGATAGTTTTAAGTAATTAGGGGTTGTTCTTGATAAGGTTCTGTCCTTTGAGTCACATTTTGATGCTACAGTGAAAAAGGTCCAATAACGACCGTACTTTTTAAGGAGATTCTGAAATGATGACCCTTTTTTATAAAAGTTTTATTGGATGTATTTTAATGTTTTGTATCATTGCTTGGCATGGTAATTTGTCTTTGACCAATAAGACCAGATTTAGTAACCTTAGTAACCAAGAGACATAGAGTGCCTTTTATACCTGCTGCTATTGTGATGATTAATAACACTAAACCATAAGCATTGTTGCCATCACTACTGGACATTGGACTTTGTTGATGATAACATTTGGGCTGTTCTCTCTGGGCTGTTTTGAGTGTGTGTGTGTGTGTGTGTGTTGTTTCATGTGTGGACATACTGCAAATCAATTTCCCACTGGGGACAATAAGGTTACCATTGAACACTGTATACTACCTTTTCTCTAAACTATATACTTTGTTGCCTATTTCAGGAGTACATGCGATGCCCCCAGTGTAAACTTTGCAGGACACTCACTCCTCAAGAGTGGATCACCAGCTATCGATCCTACGTGCTGCACAATAATATTCAATACTTAGTATTTACTGTTATATTCACATAGATCATCGCGATGATGTTGTTTATTATGTTGCTCTCTTTTTTTTGCTTGTTTTCTCTTTTTTCTTTCTCAACAGGTGATCCAGGTGATTGATATATGTATTTTTTTTGTCTTTTTGTTTTGTTGGGGTTTTTTTTGCCCTTTATCACCGTTCCTCTTCCCCGCTGTTTTTCTTTCCCTACCTCTCTTTCTTTCTCCCTTTTCTTTCCCTCAGTCATGTCTGTCCCGTGTGTAGCAAGTGAAAATAAAATAAAATAAACAATAAAAGCAAAGGTGAATCAAATAGACCAATACGGCAAGGCCGGGATGGTCCATTTGGTAAAGTAAATCTACTGGGCATCTTTCTTTGCCTTTAGACAATAATTCTGATGCAAAAGAACCAAACGGGACAGACGGAAGAAAAAAAAATGAGTGGATCACCAGTCTTGAATTTTCTCTAGTTGTATAGTTTGCCTTATTGTGGACTAATCAATGCCCAGGTCTTTAGAAAAGCTTAATAACAATTTGACAAAGATCCTGTAAAAGCTATCACAACAGAAGCATGCTTTACACAACTAGTATTTCTTGAGAAGAGCAGACCTTGTCAGCACAAATTTTGTTTGCTTGTATTTAAATGGAGAGCAGCCTAACTCACATTTCCAGGTTTACATCCTTAACTGGAATGCTTGAAGGTAGCTTTTGGAAAAGTCATACCCCAGAGGTCCGGGTTACATGGTGAGTGCGTTCATAAAGGTCAAGTGATCACGTGTTGTTTATTTACTCTAGTTGGGTTTATAAATGAGATTTAGATGAAGGTCAGAACCCATTTTATAAGCAATTAATGCTGAAAAGACTAATTACAAATGCTTACTTTTAGCTGAAAGGTCATAAACCAATGTATAATGCTTAAAACAAACATAAGAAAAAACGTATGTATGATGATTAGGAGACTCAACAATATGTGTTATCACATAAAACCATATCATGTTTGTATTTCAAATGCACTCAGCGGAGTACTGATAAACAACACATTTCCTAGACATCAGGTATGTAAAAGTCATGCTGTCTTCCTTTCTTTCTTCTTCTTCTTCTTTTAAGGTTTTGAACTTCTACATAAACTCACTAATGAAAACCTAAAAGTTCTACTTTAAATGGACCTCAATAGCCCTTTGTAGCCAAATAGGTGCTTTCACTTTTATCCATTCCTCTCATCACTGTCCAACCTGGCAACCACATTTTCAGCATAGTTCTTTCCACCTTTAACCTTTGACCTGATTCACAGAAGTCTAGTCAGCAGGAAAAACACTTTGTGTGTGTCTTTAGGAAAGACGTTTTCGTTTTAATTGAGTACAGGGGTTTGGTGTTTCCCGATTCAAATGTATGTGTCTGTAAAATGTAATAAAATAACAGTAAATAGTCCTGAAGCAGCAACTAGCCTGGTCATGGCCAAGAGATAGCCATGACTAGTTGCTGCTCCTGACTCCTCCTGACTCTTGAAAGTGTGGAGCAACAAGATGACACTGTGTATTATGTGGGATTATACACCACAGCACTGCTTTGAGTTTCGACTCATTAGTCATAGTCAGAGTCCACTTATTCTACTTTCATACTCACAAACAGACCTGTCCAAAAAGACCAGAAAAAAGTGTGTAGATAGTTACAGGCAACATTAATAATGTCTATTTCTGTTTCAGGGTTCTGCTGTTATGTTCACTGTCCCAATCTGAGGCTTACTTAGAAACTTGACTCAACCATAGTTTTTGCACTACATCAAACGTAAAGTGAAAAATATCTGCTTTTCTTTCACATTTTATATGGCAAACAACTTTTTTCCCCACATGCTCACACACTTCACTCCACTCCCTGACAATGTCCATGAGATGGCAGTATTGCACTCCATCTGTCCTCATCTGTAAGTCTGCACTCTATGAGTATATTAAACTTTGCTACTGGAATCAAACTCACCAGCCTGAAAACACATCTCACTGGTGACTCATTTTTGCAAGTCCAATTTTGTCATATATGCACAATAATATGTTAGGTCATGTGCTCTTCATCTCAGGTGAACAGAGTAAAGCAGTTGGGGGAGTGCAAAACCCCTGCAGTGGACACAGAACTTAGCACACCACACAGGCACTAAACATAAAAACTAAACACAGAAAGCTTCACAAAGGCAGAACATATGCAGACCTGATCAGACCTGTATAAAAAGTTTACATCACTGCACTGGTGTACCTAATATGTTTTTCAAAGCTCTTTACACTCTTATGTGTTATAATCAGAGGTGGGTAGTCACTAATTACATTTACTCTTTTAAATATACCTGAGTACTTTGGGAAAAAATTCTTTTAGGAGTAGCTTTACTGCACTGTGCTTTTTAATTTTACTTGAGTAATATTATTATGAAGCTTTGCTACTCTTACTTGAGAAACATTTCTCGCTACTCTACTCAGTGTAACTTCACTGCATGAATAATAAACACATTTTAATCAAAAATGCATGAGACACTGACACAAACCTACAGTTTATGTCAAGTCGTTGTTGTTTTTTGATTTTCAGTCTTTCAAATACCAACATTTGCTCTAAACTTTATATTTGTGTCTGTTTGATTATCTCATTTTTAAACATTAAATCAGATGTTATGATCAGTTACACAGTACTAAAGTAGCATTTCTTTTAAACTAAATTCTTTTTTACTGTTACTCGAGTAATTTCTTGAACGGCTACTTTTACTTTTACTTGAGTAAAACTATGTTGAGGTAGTGCTGCTACTATTACTTGAGTACAATTTTTTTTGGCTACCCTACCCACCTCTCGTTATAGTTATACTATTTTGGAGCACAGAGTCGATCGTGATGGGGTAGCAACAGGGCCCTTGACCTAAATATGCTCTGATGGAGGTTTTCTAATTAAA